TTGAATTAATTTAGCAACCACAGCGTCTGTATTATTATTACATCATATACATACTATTACATACCCAGTATTAAGATGTGATTGGGCACAAGACAATGGCCTCATTGTCACAGAGCTCTCCTCCCACACAGGCAATTACCCAACAATCTAATTAAGTGGTTAGGTTGCCGTCTTCACACCAGCCTCTGTCTGTGCATCTGTCCATCAATCTCTGTTATATTGTTTCAATACCAATCCCCTGTCTTGCACAAACCAGCACCAGCACTCGCACACACACGCATTAGTTCAGAAGCTATTATACTGACACACAAGGCAGCCCATCACTGGGTCAGTGGAAGACGGTTGCTATGGCAGCACATCTCGAGCCATGTTGCTGCATGAACAGAGGTGTGATGCAGCTGAACAAACCTACTGCTGCTGCACAGACATGAGCTGATGCTGATGCTCAAACGTCCACAACACAGTAATACAGAACAATATACAATAAACATTTTTATATAAATTCTGGATTTTCTTTTACACAGTACATTAACTGTGTGCAAATGCCACAGACGTTGGCGTGTCATGGGCGTGTGAAACTTTAAACAGCAGATGGTGCCATTAAAGGATCTCACACATTTACAGGATGAATTAAATGGTAAATGAAGCCATCAATTTCGTTTGCCATGCCAGTGAATACTGGTATTCAGGACGCAAAAAACACATTACGGCCTGGTCCAAAAAAAACATAAAAAAATAAAAAAATATATATATAAATACAGTATATGCCAAAGAAAAGCTATCTCTTCGATCCAGTTTTAGATTGTTCTTCTTTTTCACTCTCATAGTTTCTTCTGGTGATGCCACTGTAAACCTTGCACACCAGTACTCCTCTTCATTACACCATCCATCTTCCTGTCCCTTTTTGCTAAATCCATGAATCTTTCCTGGATTTTTCTGCTTTGGAGGCAACTCTATCTCCAACATCCTTCGACCAATATTCCTCTGGAAAGTCGTCTTCTTCAACTTTAGAAATCTATTCATATTTAACCTTCTTGTTACTATTTGCCAAAAAAATAAAATAAAAATAAAATGGGAAATAACCCGATGACCTTTATGTTACTTTTAGTTAAGCAACTAACCAGAAATTGAGTGTCAGTTTTGTTTTGAGAGTATCGCTGGTCTTAATCACACTTGTGTTGAGCAAGCTCTGAAATTCCCTTACTCCCCAGGCACTCATCCAAACATCCCCTGCTCCTGAGGAATGGGTTAAAAGAAGAGGCCAAATTCCATTATTTGTAGTTTATATTCAATGACAAATGTAGCAGATTTGTTTAACGTTAATAATCATTAGATAATTTTTCAGGCTCAAATTGAAAGAACTAATCAGAAGGATTCAAAAACTGCCCTCAAATGTCTGTGGCATCTGCCCAATAATGAGTGCACTTGGCAGGAACAGTTTCAGAAGTGCTGTTGAAATGCATGGTTGTGTGTAAATACAGATGGTGACTTAGACAAACAGCTAGGTTTGGTTTACATTGAGGTACTTCTAATAACACAAACTGCTGTGTTCAGACAAATTCTCCTCCTGAACCAAAATCAGGTTCACGTATCTTCCATCAACTTAACGCCATTGTGGAAGAAACAAGTATTTCTCCCCCATGTAGCTCCATATTAGATGTGAGCAGAGGGCAGTATTCACTTATATTTACCAACAATAACTGACTGAACACCAGTTGAACAACACTGGTGCTGGAGGAAAGGTTTAATTCATGAGACAGATAGGTGAAAAAACCCAACCCAACACCAAGAGTTGCTTGTGATTACTGCTTCACACATTTTAAATACCACTTGCAGTGAGATAATATATGACTGATGGTTGAACTGTGCCAATGTGGTGCAAAGACATCCACCACAGGAAACAGTTATGATTCTTGGTGTGGTCAGACAGGGCAAGATGCACAACATTCCTGTGACACAAACACAGCCACTCACATCGAGCCATGTTGAACTACTATGAAATTTCACGATCGCAACTTTTAATTATTTTCTTTTACTGGCAGGTTTCATTTTCTAACATATTACATCCTTGGCCCCTCCAGCAGATGGCGTCCTGGGGGCTGCTGATGTGGCCTATGAATTACTAAAATAAAATCCTCAAAGTATGTTTAAGGTCAAAGCTACGACTAAAACATTGTTTTCACTTTGTCATCGGTTTGTCACCTTATACTTCGTCATATTCAACTTCACCAGTAGAGGTTGCTAAATCCAACACATTGCTCTTTTCCAGTCAAATCAGCTTATCCATCATCTGTGGAGCTCTGTGATCCACACAGCTGCAGATCAGAGATGTCCTGTACGTGGTATCAGATTATGGAAGAGGCAGACACACAGCTGCAGTGATTACTGTCAGTCTGTGTACGTTTGGCCTGAGTCAGTCTGTCGGGTCTGGACTATGTAAATCAATATCCATTGAACGCCCAGGGCTGAGCTCCTGCTGCATTTGGCTCCACAGTCTCATCACATCTTATAGTTTATTATTTCACATCACTTTTCCAGATCGTCAAAACAATGTGGCTGTATATCGATCAGTCTACGTCTACACTACCGTTCTAATGTTCTGCATCATTTAAACCCTTTAATTTATACAAGTATGTAAGTGTGGGCCTTTCACTGAAAGGGGGGCAGGAATCACACTTCTCCTTACAGTCTATATCTAGTTGGTTTCCATGGTTACGCAGGAGGAGCCTGATCTATTTTCAAGAACTGGTAGTTAATGGTTCTCAATGAGCTTGAGTGTGAGAGGTTGACGAGGGATGTTGAGCAGAAAATGCTAATATCTCAAAGACATTGAAATTTGACTTCTGAACAAGTCAGAGCCTCAATTTCAGCTCCATCTCAACAAACAATATTCGTTAAACTATTGTTATTTATGGAAATTACAGAATTGTTTTACGGGGAAACAGGAATAATTCACAGAAAATAAACCACCAAGTAGCAGTCAATCAATGTACTCCTCCAAGAAAAAGCATGAAACTCACAAAATTGCTCAATTTTCCCATTTATATTTTCCTAGTTGTTACTCAAGATAATCCATGAGATCACTTCACTGCCCGTAAACGTCCAAACACACCTATAATCCTCTCGACGTAAGTGCTAATCTAAGGCAGCGGAGCAGTAATAACCATCAGCATGTGTCACAGCGATCCATGTCCACGGTCTGTTGTTGTTGGTGGCAAACTTTAAGCATGAGGAAGCAATTCTGAAAAGTGGGTCATGAAAAAAAAATCATTAGCATCATTGGTGCCTGAGGTGGTTGAACGTGGGAGTGACTCTGCAAGGTCACAAATGACCATGAGTCACCACAACAGAGCTGATGAGACATGGGTGAGGCCAAATAATATCAGATGTTATGTGGACTTCATAAAGGAGGAACTGGCATGACACGAATCCCACATGACTTGACTGTGGCACAGTTCTGCTCTCTGATAGTTTCCTCCTCTCTCTCTCCTCCCAAAAAAATCTTAACTGCAGCTCGGGACATGCAGCTACGGACCAAGATTTTATTAGGAAAAATATAAAAACGACCTACATCCAGTGAAGGTCGTCCTCATTTTTCCTTTTCTTTTAATGCGACTTTAACTCTCTTCACTTTGAAATGACTCCACGGCGTGCTAACAGTGTGACCTGGCTCCAAAGACTGAGCCGCAATCCAACAGACTGAGCTTAATTCTCTCCGCATGTTCAACAGTGATAAAGCTGCTGAAGGGATTCTCCCAACTCGTTCTCTCTCTCTCCCACTCTCTCTATCCCTCACTTATTTCCAGTGGAGGAGTAATTTGATAAATAGGCAGAGAAGGAATTTTTAAAATTTTCAAAAAGAACAAAAGCAAAAATCTTTGAGGTTCACAACAGAAAAGTGTTTGATATAAAGATTTGTTGGACATTCACCTGTTTACATCAATCTACTGTCCCAGTGTGGGTCGGAAAGATCACAAAGAGACCATGTATTTAAAACTTGTTCAGATAGGTCTTTCAGTGCTGGTCATAACCAAACAAGGAAGCAAGCTTGGTGTTAAAAGTAATTTTCCAGAATTCCACATAAAAGGAATTCTCTGATGGAAACACCACTGAAGAAGAGAGAAGACTGAAGCGTAGCTGCCTTGTTTGTTGGACCAAAGAATTGGTAACTTATTTGAATAACAGTCGTGCTGCAGCACTCTCAGGCCACATTATAACAAACCACACAAACTGAGACATTAGCTGCATCTTAGCATTCGATGAATGATTTATATCTATGGTTGATTTTAGTTCCAAGAGAACGTGCTTAGGTCTAATACAAAGTCGTTGTAAAGTCAAATAACGTCCAAAAGTCCAAAAAAACAAAACAAAACAACTGTGTCTGCTTAACCTGATCTCAATTCTTGTAACCTGCCAGGAATTATTTAGCCTCTGTTTCAGTGCCTGAAGATCAAGACAGTACAGAGATCAGGAGCCACGATTTGGATGTTATGCAGCTCGTCAGACGTAGAGTAAGGTGAAGCAGCATCAGAGTACAAAAACACAACAGATATAATCTTTGCTCAGGTGAATGCAAACATAGAGATTCAGCAAAATCACAGACAATAACAGGAAGATCAAAAGCACAACACAGTAAGAAAGGACAGGGATCTGAAGCAGCGACTGAAGATAAAAACTCCTCTGAGGTCAAAACATCATAAGAACAGAACCAACAGAAACCTTCCATGACGACAGACACACTGTAGTTTCTGTGAAAGTTTTGGAACTAGCGCTGAAAATGTAGGACTTGTAATTATAAGAAAGTGATAATAAAATGTCATCCATTCATCACAGCTGGAGCTGGTGCCCACCCTGAGTAAAATGCTGTGTGACATCAACTGAAGGCTGACCTTTGTTCCAGCCACAAAGTGGAAATGCCTGAAAGGACAACTGCACTCCGGCCACCTGTACGGTCTAACTGATCCCTGTTGTCATGACAATAAAAGCTCAGATCCTCTTACCCGTTGGCCAGGTTGTCGTCATCATCCTGCAGGCTCTTCCCTAGAAGGTCACTGTCGCTCAAGTAACCAGACTTGAGGTCGGCGTCATCCACGTCCAAGTTCTCGATAAGTTCAATGCGAGACGTGCCGCTGAGGCCCCTGGAGCGGGTCGGCATGGTGTGGGGGGTGAACTGGCAGCTACTCTTGCTTCTCTGGTATACTGCACCCGTGGCGGATGGGGCATCGCCAGCCTGGAGACGTGGACTGGACTGGCCATGGTGCCAGGACACAGGTGAGGAGCGATTGGACAGGCTGGAGATGCTGCGAGCGTTGGTCTCATCACTGTCGTAGCCCACGTTACTAGTTTCCAGACAGCTGTGGATGAGAACCAACAGAGGGGCAGTTAGTCAGAGATCCGTGGTCACTAATTGTAATGACCAGTGGTTCTCAAAATGGACCTGGGGATGGGGATGGACCTCATTCGGGGTTAAAGATTTAATGCTGAGCAGTTCAAATTAATTTCAATGTTAGTGTAATTGTTAGCACTCACAACAGATACTGTAGGTTTCTTAGCGCCACCAGACTAGACCTGTGCTCTTCATTTCCCTGCTGTTAAAAAAAAGACGCCTCAAATAGCAAAACCACATTCACCATTAGTCATTATAATCAACAGTTTTCCAGTTTGGTCTTGAGAGTGGGACAGGGTTAAAGATTCTTCCATATGGTTGGAAACATTTTGTGTGCCTGACAATTACGTAACCACAAGCAGCAAGTCACCCAAATAAATATTGCAACAAAAATGGCCCTGGGATTTTTAATGTATTGTTAATGGATATTTAACATGCATGAAGGATAAGTGGAGCCAATCAGTGCTGAGAGTGAAGATTTTAGGTTGGTCAGTGACTCACATGACACTTTTTTTATGTATATAGGTATTCAGTGTCCTTAAGATCAGGACTGGTACTGCTTAGAATTAAGAAGTATTTTTGGAGTCCAAATGGAAATAAGACTGAAAAATGTTGAAGCATGAGATTTTATACTGTTGAAAATATCTGTTCAAGCCTTTGACTGTATTTGCTTCAGTCTATCATCTTCTACCACTACGTCCATCTCATTGTTATTAAGGGAGAACTGGAGCCAATGAAAACAGTCACGGGTGACAGCAGTTCCACTGAACAGTTCTTCTGTCCCTCACATTATCACTAACTGTACACAAACTAACAACTACTGACACCTGTAGCCAATATAGAGTGACTCATTCCAGTAATTTGAAAATGGCCCAATAAACACTAACCATTTGTTTACTAAATGCTTTTTTCGACCTAAATCAAACCAGTTGTGACTGTAAATGTACTGTGTCTGAAAAAGAAGACGTGTTGAAAGAAGACTGGAGATTAGTTGGACAATGCATTGCCTTAAATATGGTTTCACCATTATAATTACTTTCCTCTGTTCTGGCATTTACGTTAAGTAATCATCTCTATGGAATTAGCTCCAGGCAAATGCTAACACTGTTCATAGTTCAATACCCCATTGAGTTCTGATGAGCTCTGGGCCACTGTAGATCGGTCACATGGTTAGGGCTGTCCTCATCACACACATGCTGCAGCATATGATGTGTTTCTTCTCAACACTTGCAATAATAAGAAGTTAAAATGACCAGCCCTAATATACATGAATATATATGTTATTAAATTTAAATATTATATATGATATGACAGTAAATATGTACTATGATATTATACTACTATATATAATATTATTATTATAAATACAATTGTTTTTCGTTCCCTTTTTTTTAATCTGATTTGTGCCTAAGCTGTTGTCCTTCAGTTGACGTCATGACCAGGAAAGAGATGAGATGTTAACTGGTGATGGATACCAGATGTGGAGCAGGTGGCTTAGTTAACCGGACTGTTTACAGCTGACTGTGTTGGGTGTTGATCCAACATACGGGTGGATCATCACCAGCCTGTGCTTTAACCCTACGACTCGATTTAAATGTAAAGCCAAAGACAAAACACATGCATATGTGGTTATATGTGGTTACCTGTGACTGAGCTGAGAGCCACGGAGACTTGACATGGTGTCCTCCAAATTCTGGCGAAGGTCAAGAACATTCTGGACGGTCCGTTTCCTCTGAGACTCTGGATCTGTGGGCCAGTCATTCACAGCAAATATGTATATATATTAAACATTTATGTACAGCCCTTTTCCTGTTGTGTGTGTCTGGATGGGTGAGAAAGGTCTCACACACACACTTTAATTTCCTCCACATGTAGGGGAGTTTCTGTTCATATTAAATGTGTCTAGACTGATGTGACAGCTGCCCTCAGTGTGTACAGGCTCTCAGAGAGATTACATCCTGTAGCTGACAGATCTCACTTGATAGGACAATTATTTTTAACTTCACCATTGTAAACTATTAACCAGAGGGCTCTTCAGTAGTTTGACATTTTATTTTCAGAGTGTTATCAAGTGTGTTTATGTCACATAAGTACAAAGTCAAAAAGATCTAGACAAAAATTGGAAACCACTTTAGTTATGGCAGTTACCTCTTAACCCGTCTGTTTGCATCAGAGAATTACGTCCTTTTAGCATTCTGTTTCTACCTGGTCTCAATCTGTGTCTCTGTGTTCTTTCTGAGGGCTACAATCTAGATTCATTCAAAGGTCAAACGCCATTCAAATCTTTCAGTCTTTCAACTAGTCTGTAACCTTCATTTTACAACCAAATAAAACTCACCAACCATTTAAATACAGGCAGTTTATGAAGTTAAACAACGGGTACATGTAAAGGTACAAAGGATTGCCCCACACAATTTTAATTTCTGTGACTGAATTTCACAATGGGATAAAAAAGTTTTATCTAACCTAACCTAATCTAATCTAATCTAATCAAGTTGTTTTCCTGTCTTTAAAAATAAAATAAAAAACTTTTCAGTGAGATTGTTTTCTCTTTGTTCCCCTCTAACCATCTGTTGACTTTGTGGATGTAAATCTTTTCTTATCACAACCACATGACTAAATTTACTGCCCCGCATCCACCACAAACAAAAGAACAGTCAGTGGATTTGGGCATCATGTCTATTTGCAGTCTGAGAAGGAAGTGAAGTTCAACCAACGATGTCGACAAAGTTCTCTAAGGTTTAAATCTTAACACAGAGTTTTTGTTTTATGTGTGTTCCTCTCTGTGCCCGCAGACTGGTCTTGTGATAAACCATTGGTATGGAATGTTCCGGCCTTGTATGACAGTCACGCTGAACCTACATGGAATGCTTCAATAATAGGCCTGTAACCAGAATCAGTCCATGTTTAATCTGGAGTTAGCAAACAAATTTAGGATAGGCCTTGTATCACCGTCATGTACTGTATTACTGTGTACTAAGAGGAGTGTTGATTATGGAGCAATAACAGAGCATTTAATATGCTGTAAATTAAAACATCAGTTGGAAAGAACTGGAACTCAATAAAGAGATAGAGTCTGTTTCGTTTATACTGGGTTTATGTTTAGGTTGTGAACTTTTACACTAGTATCTAAAAAATGATGATAGCTATTGAGTCAACACATACATACTGCATACATTTACATACTGTTTATGCACATTAACTATGAACGGAGTTGGTCTGCAGCCTCTACAATATGGGTATAATCTAATGAATTGACTAAGGTTTTTAACCTGTAACATCATTTAATGGGGATACATTATATTCCTTTAATGCAAAGGAATATGTTTCCATGATGGATTTTTTACACACCAGTTTAACAGCCCTGAACGTCTGGTTTCTGTCCAAAGCCATTAAGCAGAAGGAAAGTGGACTGTCTAGGATTTTCTTTTAAACCTTCTTGCATACTATTCAAGTGCTTCTGATAAAATGACCTTTATGACTGAGAACCTTCATGCACATCTGCTTCCTGTGCCTGTGCCTTTAAATGTTAATGAGCCACTACATGCTCCGCCCACCACAATAACAATTCAAAACCACAATAACAACCACCAAGTGTAGGTAGTCCATACCAAATATTCTGAAAAACCTTTACTTTACACCTATTTATTTGCAGTTTGGTTGAAAAAATGCAAATGTGGTGCAAAAAAACCTATGGGCTTTCCAGACATTTTTGGACTGTGGTTCGACCATAATTGACAAAGGGAAAGAAGCTTTTCCATGTCATCTACGACATTCTATATAATTTATGGTTCTCAAGTATGACTGAAATGAGTGACAGACATCTCTATTGGCTAATGAAACAAAGCTAACACAATAAGTCACCACGGATGTGTTCATTAAAATGCAAAAGGGAACACTCATTCCTGATGACAAATAGAAGGTTGAAGTTATTAAATATTTAATAAAGGACGGTGGTTGACAGTGGTTCACTATAACTGTGTGTTATAGTGAAATTGTATATATGACATATGATTGACTGGGACTTTAATTTGATGAAACTGAAATTTAACATTGACCATAGGAACATAGGTACTGATGCTTACATTTATATTTCATATTAGTAGAATATTTTGTGGATTGAAGTTAAATTTCTGAAGATAAAATGCAGACATTGGTTGAATCTGCACCAACAGAATTTGAATCTAACTTGTCAGTCTGTTTTACTATTGATTAAAAAATGACCTACATATTGAGAAAAAAAGGACATTCTCTCTGCTGTTTCCACATTGATGGAAGGGTTCCAGATGAATGGAGCAGGGAGGAAGTAAAATATGCATGTGTAGGTCTGAAATTAATTCAATATGGCATACCGTGGTCCCCATCTTTGAATTTTACAGGCATGCAGGGAACAGTGAATGAATAGGGCCTGAATGCATCAGCACATGTTGCAGCAACCGAGAGCTTTTAGAAACCGATCAGCCTGCACTTCATTTGTCCCCAAGAACCTCTAGGGTTTTTACTCATGCAACAAAATGACAGGGTTATGGAGCAAGCACAAAACATAATCAATGTCACCAGGCGTCAAATACGTGAGTGACCTCCTGGAGAAATTAGAACAATAGAACATTATTATAGCTCTTCAAAAAAAAAAAAAAAAACACGGAGGGTTCTGGCAGATGCTGAGCTGAGGTAAGACTTGATGAAATAATACAAGGAAAAGCATGCTTTGCAGGCACAATGATGATGTCTTCCTGTGTATTTTTTTCCACAGATGTCAAATAGAATAAAAGCTGTTCCAGGCAAATGTGCATCTGCAGCAGCCAGATTCAGTCCTGTGGCTGTTTTAAAGGGAGCCCAGTTCTGACTTTGGGATGCACCGAGAATTCATAAAAGCAGCACGTCTGGTTTGCAGCACAGGATAGCAAAAAGCACCAGTACAGGGTTTCATGTACCTACCTAAGATCTGACTGAAGAGCAGCTGCTCCAGGTCACCCAGCACCGTCACCACCAGCTCTGGGTCCACCTTCAGGAAAGGCTTGTCTCCCCCTTCCTCCAGCTGGCCTTTGGAACCAGGCTCTCCTCCAGCCCCAGCACCCGGTTTCTTAGCATTGGCCTTTGCTTTGCTAGAAAGGATCTCATCGTCTGACTTGCCATCCTCAGGTGCTTTACTCAGAGGTTTCACCTCGGCGTAAGGACCACGGGGTATGCGGCTCTGCTTGCTTGGGGCAGAGGGGGCAGCGAGTGGGCTGAAAGGCTTTGGTTTGCCCTGGAAAAGTGAATGCTCAGACTTGGATAGGTTTCGAGAAAGAGGTTGACCCCCTCCGGTACTGGGGCCACCTCCTTCTGTCTTTGGCTTGCCCATCTTGGTCTGTCCTGCCCCGGGTTTGGCCATGTCATCACACCACTTTGGCTCATAGAGGTGTAATTTCTTCTCAGCATCGGTCAGTACAGCCAGGTTTGTCATGGACCTCTGCTTGCGAAGATTGGTTGGCACCGGTATCCGTCCTTCAGAGCTGCCCACCCGGTACACCTTTAGTTCACCCCGCTGTGTGCTCTGGGGCACTCCAGACTTTGCCCTCTTAGCTGCCATCCCAACTCCTTTTCCATCTGCTTGTCCGTATGCCTTTGTGCTATCCGTCCTTTCCATTTTCAGATCTCCCTTTCTCCTTTTCACTCTATTCCCACGTATGCCGCCTGCATGGAACCATATAGAAAAGCATCAGGGAGGAGGAGGAGGAGGACAAATCAGGCTTCCTTACTCAAACCTCTTCTCCTTGTGCAACAAAACATGTGTGAAATTCTTTCTTATTCGCAGTCCTCTTCCCACTGCTTCCTTCCTCTCTTCCCCGCTCACAGGCTGCTGCAGCTGCAGCTGTTGCAGTGCTGCCCAGTGGCTCTCCTTCTCTCCTGTCCTCCTTTCCTCAGTTTTTTCCACACTCCTCCCTTCAGCACACCCTTCTGCCACTGAACCGCGCAGCAGCAGAATGACAGCGGCGGCAGACGCAGCACAGCTCCCTCCTCCCCGTGCTTTCTGCTCCCTGGTCTGCGACTTCCCTCCCACCTTCCTCCCTCCTCCTTCCCCTCATTTTTTCCTTCTTTCAGAGATGCTTTCCTATGTCTCTGCAGAATATGTGGAATGTAAAAGGTCGATCAGGGAAGGATCATTTTAAACCAGGCACTATTCTCACATAACTCACCATGTTTTCCCACCATCCCCTCTGATTCCTTTGTTCTTCCCCTCTCCTCCCCTCCCCATGCCTCTCTCCCTCATCTCCTGCTCTCCTGCTCCCTGTTCAATACGCTCAACATGATGCATGATTTGTGACGTTAAGGTGTCATTAATGTGAGAATGGCAACACGGTCGAGCATGTACTACAGATCTTTGTAATACAGTGTCACTGCATGAACCACATTATCCAGATTATCTTTTGATTTGGTCTCAGCTTTCATATCATATCTATTCCAGATTCACAGCTGGACAAACCATGTGGTAAAACACTAGAGCCTTTGTCCTGCCATGAATGGATAACTTTCATCTTAAAACATAATATCAGCTCCAAAGGCTAATGTTGATGCATAGCATGAAATACTAGAGAGAAAAAAAACACAGTGCTAATAAAATCCATAGACTTGGCTCCAGGATGGACAGTTCCAGGAGCCAAATCAGTGACTTCACTGGAGCAGAATGAGTGAGTGAAAATATGTGCTAGCAAGCAAGTGTGTTAGCAAGTAACACACCCAAAACCACAAGTCGGCTATAAGATATAGACGTACACGCACAGTCTCACATGTGACTGTGTTAAAATGACAACCCGGTTCCGTTATTTTGCGCAGACAGGTTTTTATTTCTGCCAACATGTGAGTGCAATCATCTCTTCAAGCCGCTCCACAGAGCCGACTCTCCGGGGGATGGAGGAGCCTCTGCAGCTCTCACATGCAGCGCTGCTCCATGGAAACCACCCTGTCTCCTCACATGAATATTATCCGCACTACACCTCTCTGCACTGCACAAACACGGCTGCCAAAGAAACTGAACCCCCTTCATAAAACGTTCTGGTCCAGCCTGCATCATGTGTCCAATAAAAACAATGTCTCAGAGGTGGCGTCCTGTGGTTCACTAAGTTGTAAGTAAAAGTTGCTGTGTTTTAACTCCACATACTGTAGTATGATTGAACTGGACAAAAGATTGAACCTCAGTCCAAGTCCAGGGACATTGTGTAGATTTACAACAATATCTAAAAAGCTCAGCTAATGCTACTATGTTAGCTTAGTTATCTCAGCATTTAGTGCTACACATGGTCTCCAAATGTCTTTTAAATACACAGCGGTTTGGTCCTCTGCCTATGGAATTTTTATGCTACCTCTACCCCTTTTTTGCTTTAATCCATGTCATATATTAAAACCAACTTCAAGTGCCTACATAATGTAGTTGCTGTTCATTAACAGCAACTGTGCTAAGCTTTTGGACTGTACATGGTAGTTATTTAGTGGTCACATAGACGTAAAGCAAATGGTGGCTTTTTACACAGTTAAGAGTGGTAGCATGAATGAAGCTACCCATTTTGAGGGAGCAGAATTATTGTAATATATATGATTTGGTCAGATTACAAATCATCAACTTGTTGAAAGAAAAGACTTTATGTTTCCCAACATAAAGTTTAACTTTACTTGTAAATCATATTTCCATTTAGAGGAAAACAGCGGGCAAAGCATGGCAGAAGTGAGCACATACTAGGGTTTGATTGACAGCCAGGTTTTATTGATCTGTAACCTGGCTGCACTCTTTCAAAAATGTCACTTATCTTCAGTTTACTGAGTGGAAAAATGAATGAGTTTCAGCCTCTTTCTCCACATGTCCTTCGATTTATTTATAGAGCTTTTTTCCTCAAAAACCTTAGGCGAACTTCCAGTCTTTTCATGGAGCCTCCCTTTGTAGTCTGATAACAGATAGCCGAGTCCAACTTTTACATGTGGTCTGTGGTTCTGCCATCTGCCACAGCTGCCTCTACTGACAAGGCAGTAACTAAAGTTTGTCCAAATCCTAAGCAGCGATGATTGTACCCATGTTAATCCAAGTATAATTTAAGTTTTGCTTAATACATTCACTTGTGGACCAGTTCACGGGGGAACACTGAGGGAGGAGCAGCAGGGGATGTTACACATCTGGGTCTGATTCCCGATCTAATCATAAGCCTGTTTGCTTTTCGCATGAGATTGTGTGGCAATCATTAGTTTTGTACCAACAGGAAAACTTGGCCGGTTTTCAGAGGTAGTTTCAGATGTGTGTGAGGATTAATAAAGCTGATTCTAGGTTTGAGTTAGGTTTCGTTTGGGTTAAGTCCCAGGTTTAAGCCTTTAGATGTGTACGTTAACAGTCACACAGCTGACTGTAATAGATCTTTCTCGGTCAGAATGTGTAATGATTTCAGCGCTGCTCACATGTTATGATGTAATGCATGAGGAAACATCAGGGAGACCTCCACGTCTGCTCAAAGCAGAAAAGAAAACACAGACAGCATCAGTGAAAATATGCACTTATAGACAGATGTTTAGACAAACGATGAGAGGACATGTGAGAAGTTGGTCTTTCATGTGTTAATTTATGAAAAACACCAACTCTAAATCATGATGTCGATGATTTGTTATGAGTCCTGGCATGTGAGCAGCATGAGTTATGAAAAATGAACACTTATGAACGCTGCTTCTTTTTTTCATCTGAAATTCCCCCTAATGTGCAAAACAAAAATCTGGGCTTGATTAAATCAGGCTGCAGTGAAGGTAAAATGATCTTCTCAGAGCTTTAGACGCCGACTTGAACTAATCAGCTCTGATGTGTTAGTCCTGGGTAAATGAACATCACTGTTTTTGTTTGTTTTGTCTTACAGCTACTTTCTTATTGTTTTTCTTTTACACCATTTCAACTTAACGACGTGGTCACTATTTAGTCTACCGTGGAAACAGCAGGACATTTTTGGCCGAACACTATCTGTGTCTCTGCTGTGTCTGTCAAAAACACAACTGAATCGCCCCTGAGGTCCATGCTGCAGCCACCAGGGGAACTCCCAGACAAGAGGTGAAAGATGATCCTCCAACCCAGAGTCCTCCATCTGTCCACTCTCAAGTTTTAGACCACTCAGACTCTGTAGCCTGGTCCCTGAAGATGATGGCTGGATGATCTCAAATCTCAACTCTTGTCTTTTGAAAAAGCATAGTGATTGTGCTTCATGTGCTGTTAACTGTGTTTACAAATGTATGTGTAAAGAAGTATTTATTAGGTGTGAAAAATCTCATAATCCATGTAAACGTGTCTATAAATGTAGACTTATCATCCGCACAATAACTCACACAACAAAAATGTTTCTGTACTACTTTGGTTTTGTGGTCACAGCTGTTCCCACTTCACTGTGTCTGTTGACTTAAGTCAATATTACTTATTTACAGTAGACATTTAATTATGTGATCACTTTGTCTCCAATTGATCTTAATTGACTGAGATGCTGAGGATGGTGAATCACCAACAGTGACACATTGTGTGTGTGTGTGTGTGTGTGACAAACTGAGAGAGAGACGTCATTCTTGTATGATTACAGTGTACACAGCACATTACTTTTAAGGATCTTAAAAGAACCAACTCTATTCTTTCAACGTTTCCTTGGTCTCTGATGACAAACCTGACATCACGCCCCACCACCATGACACACCAAAGACATAAACTGTGTAAAAAGCCAGCGCAGGGTTAACAAGAAATGCTGTGAGATTTAAAAAGGGAAACCTCCGGGCCAAGTTTCGGTGTTTTCCCCACATGCACATAAAGAGAGCAGCACAAAAACTGATGTAAATAACAGGTGGCACAGAACAGTGTGCAGCAGCAGCAGCAGCAGCAGCAGCAGCAGCAGCAGTGGTGAGCTGGCAGCCACTCTGCTGAAAACAACTGCAACACTGAGGAGCCCTGTGTTAACGTCCAAACATACAGACGCAGTGTAACACAAGTGAACTGGGGAAATAACAGCATTGTGTAAAACCAACTGCTTGAACCCTGTGAACTGGTTTGTCTCCAAGACTCGTCTCCAAGTTCCACTTTGACTGAGGACAAGAATCTCTGAAGGGTTTTATTTTACTGCAAGTGCATTAAACTTCATGAACTTCTTCAAAGGATGGCCATTTAACCGTGTTTGGTTTAAAGTAAAGTAAAAAAGTACACAAAGCATGACTTCACAGCTTGGTTTCATTATTAACACCAGAACATGATACAATATTAGTCGATCCTAATCCCCAGTTTGTGTAACAAGTATACTTTGTATTTTTTTGCTTCGATATAATAGTCCAGATGAAAGGAATGAAAGCAATCCTTTAGTAATGGTCACATGCTGACAAAGACAGACCTGACAGTATGTGTAAACCCTGTGGTAGTAGTAAACCATAGTATGGTGGTTAACATGCCTGCCTTGAAAGCAGAGAGCAGGGAGTCCTGGGTTCAATAACACTATACTATTCAATAATAATAATACTAGCGCCTCCTGTGGCAGTCTGTGTCAGTTACAAAGGCCCACACTATACATTAACCCATTGTGGGATGAATAAGGTACTCATTTATTTATTATTATTTAAAACCAATATGACTTTAATATTAGACTTATATGCTGTAGGTCTAAATGCAACAAATGGTTCATGAAACTTTACTTTGGACTCAGAGGTACTACTGTACTGTGTAGAAATACTGTGTTTAGACTACATGGCACATGTATATGTGACCCATATCTGATTTTTATGATCACAGGATTCATATGTGACTTCTGTGAGTACATTAAAAAAAATATCATTCTTAAAAGGGTCAGGACTTACCGATGTCATCACAGCAGACCTCCATGGAGTCTGAGGAGCAGTCACTCAGGTCGTCCAGAAATGCATCTGTGTTTTCATGAACCTGAAATCTACAGGAAAGAAGACACAATAATGTGAAAACAATTTCCTACAAAAGTGGGAAATAAAACAGATGGTCACATTTAAATCTAATAACAAAAGTCAAAGGATGGCCTCAGGCTGCATCTTACAAAGTGTGTCCTAAAATAAACTGCACTCTGCAGCAGAGCTCATCCTCCCATAGTAAAACTGTGAAACACTGCCCTCACCTGAACCTAAAGGGAGCGACAGCAGCCATGTTGACTTTTCCTGGCTCACTCCTTCTGCTTGGAATGTTGGATTTCTCATGAGAAGACTCTGTTTTAGAAGCTCCCACATCCTGGTTGGAAATCCCTCTTATATCCTTCTGGAAGTGGTCCGGTCCACCTGCAGTCGGTCCTGGAGATTCATTTCCATTAGAACCTTTAGGGGAAAATTGATGTTCTCTTCCCTGAACATGCTGGACACAGGACAAGGCATCAACTTCATGTGCGTTTTCCAGAGTTTTTAGCGGATGCTTCCCTAAGGTCCAATTCTTGTTGGCAATCCGTCTTAACTGGAGCTCTCTCACAGCTTTCTGGGCGTGAAGATCTAGAGTATCTTTGGAGCGCAGGATCTCTCTCTTCTGGATTTGAGGGCTGCTGTAAGCAGAGCAGGTTCCATCGGTTCTCTCTGTTGATGCTGGGCCTCTGTGAGAGTACAGGCTGCTCTTCTGTCGCAGAAGGTGGTTCCTCAGAGCTGAACCTCTCAGCAGCTCTGAAGGTCCTGAGGAGGTAGGGTAGGCAGGAGGTTTTCTGCAGGCAGCCTGAAAACGCTGCGCTGGACTCGGGAGGCTGCTGTAACACTGGTTTGGATCTACCTTGGAGAGTGGCATCGTGGCTGCAGGTGAAGAAAAACTGGAGGTGACAGAGTGTCACTGTGGCTGGAAGATGAGGCTTTGACCTTCAGCCTGCCACTAGTGGACAGTGAGTTTTACTGCAGGAGAAAATGAAAAGATACAATAGACAGGTTGTAAATTAGAAAGAGATCTAACTAATAATAATAATAAAGAATTAACTACTGTAACTATTAAAACTAATAAAAGGAATATTTACATGCCTCACATCATAATTGAAGATTATTTAGAGGAATGAGAAGCAAAGATTTAGAATATATATATATCAATGGTTCTCAAACAGTGGACCGGAGTACACATCTGGTCCGGGAGCCGCTGATTTGTGGACCATGAGCTGGACATGAAATAGAGTAGTTTGAAGTACATTAGTTGAACGATTCTTGTTCATTGTTGTTGGTCATTTCTGCCTGAATATCAGGCTAAACAGATTCTCTAATAATAATCAATGGGTTGAATAAAAAATGCTGTCAAAAACAGACCAGTATTTAATAAAACTGCATGCATTTTCTGTTTTTGTGCTGATAAAACTTTCAGAATAATGTCCAAAATGTTCAACCTTGGTCTTTTTTTAACCTTACATTAGTTTCTTGACCTTAGACAGTACTCTTTATTGAAAAAAATCCCAGTTTTGAACTCTTAGTTTAGACAAATGACAAACATTTGTGAATGGGGAGCCACGAGGAAAACAAATATTACCTGCTGGAAAATCATGTCGTTCTTAAATGTTGCATTTGAACTCTGTGAACCATAAACTCATAAACAAAGCAGCGGAAAGAATTCGGTTCACAGAGACTTTTGGATGAATGACAACAAATGTATGTGGGCCGAGACACAGAACAGAGCATTTGTCAGTCATTACAGTCATTTGTCAGTCATTATGTGTTTCAGATCTAAGTGGATTTTCTTGTCATTTCCAACCAGAACAGATCATGTTGGTGCAAACAATGCAGATCATAAAAACCCGTCTGATAACAAGTAAACCCAAAATGTTCTCTGATGATGATGTAAAACTATACCTCTGCTGAAAGCGCATGATGAACAACACGCTTTTAATATTTCATACTAACACTGTTAAACAGCTGTGCATCTGCAGGGCTGAGGAGGATTTCAAACCACAGACCCCACGGGCTGAAAGCTACCATGAGTGAGTGGGAAAGAAGAAAGAGGAGAAGATGGTTTGAGGGGAAGGAGTATTATACCATTACGCATCATCAACATCAAAGTAGCCAGAAAGTCTGAGAACCAGACTGGTCCAAGGTTCAAATTACTGAAACGTGGAGATCAAGAAAGTGGCCACACAGCAAGAAGTCAGCGGTTTGAATCTCAGTATGGATCAAGGCCTTTGTTCGCCAACTTTGCATGATTTCTCCATGTGCTGCACACGTTCTCTGGACACGTCGTCTTCTCAAACAATCCGTAGAAACTCTCGGAATAAGTCAAAGGTAAATGGAAAACTTCAAAATGACCATCTATTACCTTTTCATGTTGGTCCAGGGATGAATTAGGAACCTGTTCAAGGAGTGACCCAAAGTCAGCTGGTACTGGAAGAGAATCCTCCCATGAGCTTAGGTAGCTGAAGACAAACAGATCAGGAGAGCCAATGATACCTCGGTTAAAAAAAAGTATTTGTGAACCCTGAAGGCAACTGTTTCCACATGACATGTTTCTGGACAGCAGCCACTTTTGACTTCTGATATCTGATTATTATTATATTATATTGATATTATTAATAGTAATGTAAATAATGTTGTTCTGGAAAATTAACTTCACAAAGTGAAGGAGGATTCAGGTTTCTTTCCTTGTCAGTTATACAATAACTTCTCTGAAAAAAAAAAAATTAGTTTTGGGTCTCTGGTACGATAATCCTACATTTCCCACCAGGCAACACCGGCATGCCAGGATTATAAGGCAGTCCGTTCCTCGGAGAAGAGTCTTGGACAAAGAGGTGAAACATCTTCTACAAACCAAGACGGTCGATTTCTAAATTGCTTTGGATGAAATGACCAGGGCGGCTGAGAAGCTACACAGTCATACAGTAGAAAATGCTGAATCCTGCATGTTATAGAAGACGAAGTTAAGGAGTTCACTTCCCATTGATGATTATAAATCAAACAGAGATCAATGCAAACCTCAGTCCGTCCTCAGATCACAGCACATGTTCCAGCAGCTCTGCCTCTTATGCCACAACCTTCAGTTTAAGGCGGGCCGTGAAACCAGTGACAGACGCCACTTGGCACGAGCAGCAGCAGAATGGACTCTTTTAGGCCTTGCCAACACTGAATGTCCCCTGGATGCACACAGCACCGAGGGTGGGGGAGGGGCTATTCACCCCATCACAAAGGAATGAAAAGGAACATTTGAGGAAACAACTGGAATTATAGGGTTCAAGTCAAAGTCTTCAGCGTACTTCAGTCCAAAGACCTTCAAACTGATGGAGACTCTATATACAATATTAAAGTTTCTGCATTTAATACTAATCAGTACAAAAAGGAGAAGATTCATACATGTATTTTTTATGTAAAAAATAATTTTTAAAAAATCTCTAATGAGCCAAAGGTTTCACCTCTCCCCTGCAGTACCTTAAATGAACTCTAGTGGTTATAAACACTCTGGGAAAAACCTCTGGTTTTAGTGTTGAAACCTAGTTTTTGTTACACAATAGTAATAATGTATTGTAAAAACTAATGATATACTTGGAGTAAATAAGTAAAAAGTAAAAGTAAAGTAAATATTTTTAGATGTCAATTTTTTCAAATTCCACATGTAATGGTTTTTGTTTTCAACAGGAAGAGAAAATTCAAATATCAAAACAATAGATTAAATTAATGTCCCTTTGATACAATATAGAATATAGATAGATAGAATATACTTTTTAAATAAAAACATAATTTTATATTTAATTTAATCAGGTCGGACTTCACATCCACACATTTTCATCTGGTTGTTAAACTAACACCAATAGTCAACTTAGTTGAATGGTTCTGAAAACTCACCTAAATGGTCAAAGATCCCAGGTTTGTCAACTCCAGTCTGAACACTTTAGTCTAACACAGTGATGCAGTGCAGACACACTGCACTGCAGGATTCTCTCAAATGCAATAAAACCAAGTTCTCCATTCAGCTTTAGAGTCCCTGTGTCACACACAGCTCAGCCTCATCTGTGACTTCAGTTTCACATTCCTCCTGCGGTGACAGCCTGCTTTGTGTTTTTACCTGTGGCTCAAGTTTCATTTTTTACAGTAGGAATGTGACTTTAAGGCTTCTTTTGTCATCAAAGCAAACAGTCAGAGGTGAAGAAATGAGATAACCGGAGGGCGCGAGCTCAGATCCTCCGTCGTCGTAAACACACCAGGATCAATTCTGTCTGGTTCGGCTTCCAGACTGCACAGCCAAATGGTCCTATAATGCACCAATGGGACATTGGATGAGAGGATTACAGTCAATAAATGTGTTGAAACCACTTTACAACAAACAAATAGGAATCACACTCAGTACTGCGATCGTCACCCTCTGGTATTACTTTATACCACATATTATCTCAAAGATCAGAGAAGATGACTAGTCTCCAAATATCTGACAAACTGAGGCTTTTGCCAACGACACGTCGTGGTGCGTTATTGGTTCTGTGCCACCTCTGCAGCACACCGTCAGATAACTGTGATGAAGAGCTGCATCACTATCAGCATAATTTCATTTCCTCCAGACTCAAGTAGTTTCTGGCTGTGCAGCAGGTCTGATCTCATTTTTATATTTAGCACCAAGTCCCAGATTCCTCATCCTCACTGTGTCCTTCAGTGTTAAAGCCTCGGGACATTTGTCACCACAAGAGCCTCCATTCAAAAACACATGTACAGTAAGAAGTAGATGAGAGCAAATATCCTCTTACACTGTGGCTTATGACCGTGTTGCATTCAGGTGTCGCCACTTTAAACTATTATCCTGATACCATTTTCAGAATATGTAGTTTGACAACAGTTTTAACAGGTGATGTTACAGATTTTTTCTTACGGAATAAATTAAAACTCTATTTTCCACATCTTGTCTTTGATTACATTAATTCACAAAGGTTTAAAATGAAATAAAAAAAGATGTTAGTGCTAGTAGGCTCTGCACAGGCAACGATTCCCAACCACTGTGTTGCAGCACACTAATGTGCCATGAGAGGTCAGCAAGTGTCCCGGTGATCCAAATTCAGTTCGTTGATTTAAAAAATACTTTTCCACTAGATTACAGTAGATGGCCAAAAAAAAAAAAGGCGCAGTTGTGCAGTACACTGTAGCTCATGCGCACCCAACGAAAGATACAAGTCATAATATAAATGTATTTAATCCAATGAAGGACAATAAAAATGGACACATGGACACGTGTGACTGACAGCTAAGAACATTTAGTCATGGCCTAACAACACTAGGACCAGGACTCTTCCTGCCACATGTCTCACTCTGCATCTGCAATTAACAAAACATCCATAGAGCTAGGGTTTATAGACGAGGCTTCAAATGGAATATAATGAAATATCTTTCAGGGTTTCCAGAGTCAAAGAAAGGGTGTTATTTGAGGTCAGACGAGACTGCCATTTTGACTTTACATTCCACAACACACACTCACATACACACACACACACACACACACACACACACAGAAAGAGGTTAGAGTTGGACTGAGGACACACTGAGATGTGGCACTGATGAAAAAAACATCATGATGCCATCCACAAGCAAATCATGGCGTCGTACTCCTGCAGAATAATGGCCTACGACAGTCGCTCCCAAAAAAGTAGTTTTCAAAACTCCACTGAAGTTCCTTCACCCCTGAAAAAAACGTTAATTATTTCGCTTTTCTACACACTCTACACTCTACACACACCCCTGTGCACCTTGAGGTTGACTGCACCGTATATTGGGAACCACTATAGTTGAGAGTATGGATTACTTCATATAGTTGTTTCTCTAATATGAAGAACATTTTTATCTAAGTCATTACTTTAACATATTTTAACCAACAAAGTTAAATTAACACAGTATTTACCCTGAACAAGCCAGGATCTCCTTTTAAGAGTGAAACAGTTTGACAAACTGCAGTAACTGCAGATTTCACATGGGACCAAGACAGGGTTTTTAAGGAGTTAGTTCTGCAGTGCAACTGTTTCCTCCTGTTCCCTTTAGGCTTTTTGTCTCAGCCCGCAGTGACCAACAGTACACACTGTGGTTGTCACGTGTTCATCAACACAAGAAGAAGCAATACATCACACATACAATACATACAAGTGTTCACTGTCAGTAACCGGGTCACTGCTGAGAAAGAAAAGGTTTAAAGGGGGCGTGCTTCTTTTAGGTGAAAACCTGTGATGTCAGAATTGAAATGTAAGTCAGTCGTAGATATATTTCAAATTTACTGTGTTTACTTCTAAATGCAATTCTTGTATATCAGCATATTCTAAGGGACACAATCAAGAGCCTTTCTTTTGTGAATGACGGTAGCAAATACCATTTTGCCAGGTATGGTCCAATTAAAGAGCAAAAACTTCATAACGTTAAAAAACAAGTTACAAACATCCTGCAGCTTTATGACGAGACACTCTGACATCAACACAGTACTGACAAAACAAGGAAGGAAATCAAACTCACCACAGGAAGAAGTCTGGAAAAAAGTCAGGATATAAACGATTAAAACTTATTAGTAATGAAATTTGACCATCCATCCATCCATCCATCCATCCATCCATCCATCCATCCATCCATCTATCCATCCATCCGTACCTATGATCTAAGACTAGTGTGTCTGCTCCAGATCAGTTACCTCTCTTGTCAACACACAGTGGACAGTGCAGCAGACCTCACCTCTGGAGCATCTCTGCCTCTGTTCAAGGCCTGGGACACAGTACAGCTGCTTCCTTCCTTTCTGCTTGTAAAACAATAGACACACAGATGCACTGCTGGTGTTAGTTCCTCTGGATCAGACCACTTAGCCACCAGCAACTCTCTCTACCTCTCTCTCTCCTTTGCTCTCTCTCTCTCTATATATGACTCACAAATGGACCATTCCGGTCTCAGACGCCCGGAACATAAGTGCTGACCCATAACTGGGCCATAAACCTTTTGGAAAACCTACAGACTGCATCATACTCTTTTATTGCCTCTGATAGGCAGTGTGCATTTATTTGTCTTCTCCTTGCTAGTTATAAAAGTTATAAAAGCCCTGAGACACAGCAGAGCCAGTGAACCCCAGTGAACCCC